GGGCGTGTGTGGCGCTGTGGTCTAAACCACTGAGCCTCTTGGGCTTGCCGATCGGAAGCTTGGCGGTTTGAATCCCCGCGACAGAGTGAGCTCCCGTTGCTGTGTCCCAGCTCCTGCCAACCTAACAGTTTGAAAGCATGCCAATGCAAGTAGATAAATAGGTACCACTGCGGTGGGAAGGTACCGTCATGCGCTCTGGTTTCTGTCATGGTGTTCTGTTGCGCCAGAAGAGGTTTAGTCATGCTGGCCACATGACCCGGAAAGCTGTCTGGACAAATGCCAGCTCCCCTGGCCTGAAAGCAAGATGAGCGCCACAACCCCATAGTCGCCTTCGACTGGACTGGTTAAGTCCAGGGGTCCTTTCCCTTTACCTTAAATGCAACTTGAAGGGAAGGTAACCACTACAAACAGGAACAGTTTCAGGCTTTACTGCAGCCCTGACTGGGTGTGTGAGCAGCAAGGGGTTTTCAACAAAACTGCTGCAAGCAATGTATTTTGGGGCAGGACACAGACGTTTCTTCGCCCAGGCATGATTTAATAGGTGGAGAAAATGGTTAGGGAGTCTCTCTCTAGTAGAGAAGGTTGCAACATTTGAGACAAGCTTCTTCCTGGTGCTCCCCCTCTTGAAGCCAGGCACACAGGGCAGCCATTAAAGTATCTGTTTTTGATGCGCTGCCACCTAAAACAATGCAAAACAATGGCACCTGGAGCATAAGTTATGTATGGCAAGTATAAGTTGCAGTTTGCCATGTCTTGACTTAAGGCAACCCCTGACTGTAAATATAGAGAGAAAGGGCTTGTTTATAGATCCAGTCTATAAACTGCGGGAAACCTGGCTCCTAAATCATGTCACTTTTATGTATTATTTATGGTAGCCTTTCCAAAACAACTTATAATTGGAGGACACTTTTTTTTTCTGAAGTGAAATTGGAGGCATAGCTCACTCTTATGCTAAAGACGCTCACTCTTATGTTAAAGACAAACTTTTTAGTGTGGGAGTAGTGGTAAGATGATAGATAGATAGATAGATAGATAGATAGATAGATAGATGATAGATAGATAGATGATAGATAGATAGAGATGATAGATAGATAGATAGATAGATAGATAGATAGATAGATAGATAGACTGACCGACCATGCTAGAAAAATAGGTGCCGGAGCTCACCATGAACTTCTTCATTGTTCTCTTAGAATGGCAGTGGCGTCCACCTGAGAGGTACTGAAGCTGAGCTCCAGCTGAAAAACCCCCCAATATATATGTGTGTGTGTAAAATATGGTGGTGTGCACAGTTCCTTCCTATTTAATCCTCACAACAATTCTGTGAGGTATCATAGGCTGGCTGATGGTGTCTGACCCAAGGACAGTCAACAAGCTTCACTGCTGAATGGAGATCTGGGTCTCCCTGGTCCTAGTATGACACTGTAACCAGTACAGCATCCTCTCTCTCTCTCCCTCTCTCTCCACCCCCCTCTCTCCAGTCCCTGTGGTTCTGCATGTCATGATCCTGGGCACACCTCCAGGGTGAAAGGAGGCACAATCAGTTCAGTGACTCAGACAGAGACACAATGGACACCCTACTCTGAGGAGATTCCATGGTTCACATGAGGAAAGAGAAGAAGTCACTAGGTTATTTTGCTTATTTCACTGCAGGACTGCTGTTGTCAAACTAAGACTAGTGTTTCGGGATGCAGGGTCTGTGAGTGAAGGCTTCCTACCTCAGGTGACCATACCTGCGCATGCAAGTGGGACAAGATGGAGCCATGTGTAATTGGCGGCAGGGCTCAAGGCATGACCCCATAAGCCCCTTTCTACATAATTTGCCTCTTTGTTGTGAATCATGTGTGAAAGGGGACTTAGCTACGTTAAGCACCATCCAGTGTAGTGAGACTTAATTCTGATTAAATATGCCTAGCTTTTGGGATCTGGCTTCTAGGTTCGTTCTCAGGGCTTTCTCAGGCAGCTAAGTGCATTTTTGCAAAAATACAAGACGCTGGGTAGCAACTTAAAAGCATTAAAACCTCACTGGTGGTGTACTGCTCATTGCACAGTGTGGCATTGTTGCCTGGATACATGGCGACACAAAGCAATTGCCAGAACATTGACCAAGCTGGCAGTCATTGTTCCCTAAGTGAGAATGGGACAATAGTAAAATCTCAGAGCTAATGGTTTGGTATTGCTGGAGGTGAGGGGAAGACTTATGGTTGTGTTGTTTAAACTTCTGTTGACTAAAAGTCATAAGGTTGGGATTTCACACCCATAGATCCAAACACACGCTGACAGTACATTTAATAACCTGTGCAAGGTCGTTAAGATAATCCCTTTTTGGTTTTGCCTTGAGCCTCTGTGAATGATGTTGTTGTGACACTTGGCAGTGCAGCTCTCTGAAGGCTAGTTCATGGTAGCCATAGGTAGATGTAAAACACTTTGAAGCTATTTGCCAAGGTTCATATTTTAACCTGAGTCTCATGATGCTTAATGCTATTCTTTAAGCCTTAATTCCTGGAGTTATATAATTGGGTGGAACTATGAGTTATCTTTTTTTTCCTTTTTCTTTTAAGAACCTTGACCTCATAGTTGCCAAGAAAAATTTGGAAAACCTGACTCAAGTGTAAGCGAAACATTTAAAAATGAGAAGGCAAATAAAGTCCACTCTGTGAATGCTAGGCTGCTTCCACACTCAGCATTTACGGAGGAATAGCTACTCCTTGTTCACTCACCTTTTGTGGGCATCTGCATGATATCATTAAGAAAACTTCCCCATCACACGTTTTCCCTGTTCAGCTTCCATTTCTTTTCAGAGCTCAGAAAATCTGACTTTTGTTCTTTTGTTTTTAGCTCAGTGGCATATCTGTGGAATTTCCCCAGGTATAGATGGCCTTTATTTCTGCTGTTCTGATTTTTCTATCCATTTCCTTTTCTATGACCTGTCTCTCCTGTCTAGGAATCAGCTTTAACCTATCACTTCTATCACTTTAACCCTTCCCATACCAAATAGGATTGCCTATGTATCCATAACAAAAAACAAAATGCTTAGGAATATGGCTGGGAGTGTCAACAATATTTAACCCTTTCCCCCACAGACAACATTTACGTGGCTGGGGAAAGGAGGACTGACTATTTCATTTTTTAATTTGCAAAGGTATTTGTATGCCACTCCATAAAGATCGATGGGTGGCTTAAACCCGTAAAATCATAAACAGTATAAATACAGCAAGAAAACAAAACTCACTGCAGCCCCAAAGTTAAAGCACTGACATAAATACTCAGAGGTCAATACTAAATAAGTTATTTAAAAGGCCTGGGTGAACAGAAAGTTCATCATCTGGTGCCATAAAGACCATAATGAAGGTGCCAGGTGACCTCAGTGAAGACTTTTCAATAACCAGACTATCCCTACTGAAAAGCCCTTTTCCCTGGTGTTTAGCAAACTTACGTAATTTGACTGGTGATTTTGGAACAAGGCCACCAAAGAGAAGAAGGCTATAGAAGAAGGCTTTCAAGTAACCTGGCCTAGTATGGGCCATTAGAAATCTGGAAATAGAGTTGATGCTCCACTTCTAGCTTAAAGTAGAACAGCAGTGATTGAGAGCTACTGAATAGTCCAGGCATAGGCAAACTCGGCCCTCCTGATGTTTTGGGACTACAACTCCCATGATCCCTAGCTAACAGGACCAGTGGTCAGGTATGATGGGAATTGTAGTCCCAAAACATCTGGAGGGCCGAGTTTGCCTTTGCCTGGAATAGTCAATGTCTGGAAGCAGCCTTAATTTCCTCATTTTTGAGGAAGGAAGCCGGCTCGTGGTTTTTAAACATGCTGTAACCATTCACAGATAGCATCAGGCGAGTGTCCTATACCAGAGGACACAAATCCATGATTTAAGAGAGAGGCCTGCAAACAAAAATTCTACTAGGTGTTTCAAATCAATACATGAACTTTAGTCCTCCTCCCCCCTGCGGTTCCAGGTCATACACACCTCATCTCCTTTGCCTGTTTGCCCTCCCAGATTCATTTCCTCTCTGTAGCCTTCTTCTCTAGGGCCATGATCTAACCTTCCTTTCTCTCCTTCCCTTCCTCTCCTCAGATCTGTGGCTTTCTCTCCTTCCCTTTGCTTATTTTGCTTGTGTTGCCTTTAGAGGGGATTTGAACACTCAGCCGTTGACAGTCACAAGGGGTACTTTGCCTGTCTCATGTTTGCTGGGGCTGATGGGAGTAATAGTCCAAATTGTCTGGAGGGCACTATGGTAGCTACTCATGATATAGAATAGAGAAGGGTCTTAAAGCAGACCTGTATACATTTCTGTTTGCGGGATTAAAAATGAATCTTAACTCAGTTTTTCTAGGTATTTTATCTGTGACGTCAGCTTCTTCTTCTTTTCTTTTTTTAAAAAAATGAATCCCCCCCCCCTATTTTATATACACAAACATGAGGAACAGGAAAAGCTTGTTTAGATTTGCTAAGAAAAACAGACAAATGAAGCCAAGTCCAGGATACAGAACGTTCAGGTAGAGTCTAGTTTCCAGTCTCCACTAAAAACAGGCCCTCTTCTTCTATTATTTTAAACTTTTCAGCCTCTGTATGAAATAAAACACAGAGGGCAATTCAACACAGCCCTGGTAACAAAACTAGCTCCTTCATCAAAGGCGGTTTTATAACCAAATGGGTGTCCTAGTTTCCCCTATGCTGGTGGGTATAAAGATCTCATTCATTGTTAGTGAATCTCTATTTAATGAGAGACAAGTAGGTTGGGTGATCAAAAGAGAACCATATTCATGATTGGTAGCCTTGGTAATAGCGGAACGTTTGGTTTAATCTTGCCTTTGAGTGAGGTACTAGTTTCAACAACTGCTTTTTTATTCACTTGGGGGCAGGGAGGAGGAACCTTTAGGCCTCCATTTGTTGTTGTACTACAGATTCCACTATAGAATCATAGAACTGTAGAATTGGAAGGGACCACAACGCCTGTCTGGTCCAACCACCTGCAATGCAGGAATCTTTTGCCCAACGTGGGGCTCGAACCCACAACTCTGAGATTAAGAGTCTCATGCTCTGCTGACTGAGCTAGCCATCAGGACCATTGGCTATGCTGGCTAGGCCTGAGAGGAGTTCCCAACAATGTCTGGCTACAGTTCCTCCATTCTTGACTTAGACATCCCTGTTATATCCCTGCTCTATCAAGCTATTTTGAAATGACCTCAATTTGCCCTGAATTCAAGAGGTTATATGAGTTGCTAAAAAGAGAAGCAAAAGAAAAAAGAGTACACCAGAATGTGTCTGTACGGCGTATACGTGCATACAAGCGAATGCTTACTTATTTATTAAAATGTTTAGAAATCACACTTTCAGAAAAATATAGCAAGGTGGTGTTCAGCACGAAGCATAATACCACAGTGGTACCTCGGGTTAAGAACTTAATTCGTTCTGGAGGTCCGTTCTTAACCTGAAACTGTTCTTAACCTGAAGCACCACTTTAGCTAATGGGGCCTCCTGCTGCCGCCATGCCGCTGCACAATTTCTGTTCTCATCCTTAAGCAAAGTTCTTAACCTGAGGTACTATTTCTGGGTTAGCGGAGTCTGTAACCTGAAGCGTCTGTAACCTGAAGCGTCTGTAACCCGAGATACCACTGCATAATAATAACATCAGTAAAGACATCTGCATTTCCAAAACACGCCCCCCCCCAAAAAGAGCGCATGTGAGTTGGGAGCAGGGCTTGGCACTGTGATCCTCTCCCCTCCTCACGCTCATTCACCGTATGCGCCATAAATGTATAAAGCGTGCTAAAGCCACTTCCCCAAGGCCACTGAGTGAATTCATGGCTGAGGTGAGATTCAAAAAACCACAGACTTCCTGGCTCACAGTTCATTCTCTTTAACTCTCTGCTGTACTACGTACGTACTTAAATTAAAGCAGGATGTTAACCTGTTATATATATATATATATCCACACACACACACAAACACAAACACACACATCCCTCCACCCCTCCTAATTCATTCATCTCCCAGGTGTTCAGAAAAGCAGAGGTTGCTAGGTATTCTCAACATGCCCTATCTCAAGGTATTGATCAGTTCCTGCAATCTCAGCCTTATCTGTTTGCTCAGCAACGAATCTCTTTCATTCACACCAGCGACACACAGGAACTGAATGGATCCTACAGTACAGAAAAACATCAGTCGGCTATTTAACCCCCCCCCTTTTTTTTTGACACTTCATTTGAATCCTCTTTGGTTTCCATAAGAGGGACGTGCCTGCTTTGCTTGACATCAGAAACCATTCCCGCCCACCCATTGTGTCTGTGGGATGGTTACAATATGAAAGACGTTAACTGTAGGAAAACGTAGTCATACACTGAACCAGGTGGGGATGCGTTTCTTTTCGTGGCAGAATGTATGCAGAAAAAAGGGGGGGTGAGGACAGAGCACAATAGGGGAAGAGGAAGCAAAGAGGTGCTGCCCTAGAAACATGCATTGTACCAAATTTGATGGCCTTCTGGTCTCAGACACAGTGTGTCCCATTGGTAAAAGGTAAAGGTAAAGGGACCCCTGACCATTAGGTCCAGTCGTGGCCGACTCTGGGGTTGCGGCGCTCATCTCGCTTTATTGGCCGAGGGAGCCGGCGTACAGCTTCCGAGTCATGTGGCCAGCATGACTAAGCCGCTTCTGGTGAACCAGAGCAGCGCACGGAAACACCGTTTACCTTCCCGCCGGAGCGGTACCTATTTATCTACTTGCACTTTGACGTGCTTTCGAACTGCTAGGTTGGCAGGAGCAGGGACTGAGCAACGGGAGCTCACCCCATCGCGGGGATTCGAACCGCAAGTCCTAGGCTCTGTGGTTTAACCCACAGCGCTACCCGCGTCCCTGTCCCATTGGTAGCTTGCTAAGAAAAGCCTTCGAGAATGGCCCACCTTTGAGTATACATCCTTCTTCTGTAATTGCCAGTTCTCCATCCCTCCATTAACTGATCTTTTCAAAATAGAAATAAAATAATAATAGTAATAATAATACTGATGGTTCCAGGGATTGAATCAGGGTCTCTCTTGCGCACAGAAGGCTTGCAGGTTCAACCTCTGACTTCTTTTATTTCTCATTTTTGTTAAAACAAAACAAAAAGGGGACCAGATAGTAGACAATGGAGAAAAAATAAGTGCCCGAGACCCTGATGAGCTGCTATCAATTAGCGCAGGCAAGTCTGCCATGTGGGCAAATAGTCTCACCTGCTAAGGCAACTTTCTATGTCCCTCTAGTTTAAATTCAACCCCTATTTCCTACCAGTTGTTTGTAGTGAGAAAAACATTGGATCTCCAAGGGACCTGTATGTGTGGTTTAAAATACAGTGGTAACTCGGGTTACATACGCTTCAGGTTACATATGCTTCAGGTTACAGACTCCGCTAACCCAGAAATAGTACCTCGAGTTAAGAACTTTGCTTCAGGATGAGAACAGAAATCGTGCTCCGGTGGCATGGCAGCAGCAGGAGGCCTCATTAGCTAAAGTGGTGCTTCAGGTTAAGAACAGTTTCAGGTTAAGAACGGACCTCCGGAACAAATTAAGTACTTAACCCGAGGTACCACTGTAAAAGCTAAAATGGGTGAAAGCTGCTAACATGCAGTTCTTCCTCTTCCTTCTTCCTTCTTTCCCAGTATCAAGACTTCGGGTAAAGAAAATGTGATTGGCTAGGAGTCCACTAACACCAAGCTGATTCTAACAGAACCAGAAAAAACAGTGCTCAGAGAAGCTTCTTTTGATTTCATTTTACTCAATATAAATTCAATTAATAATAATAATAATAATAATAATAATAAGCATAAATCTTTGACTCCACTGACTTTAGGTATTTGGAGTATTGCAGGGATTGTCCCTGAAGCTCATGGTATGCATTAAAGATTCTCAGTTCATTGACTTCACAGGAATGACTCCTAAATTGGACTTCTTTGAAACTGAAATGTTAGGCAGTCATCCCAGTGCAGCAACTCTGGTGTGTGTCTGGAGCACCACCCATCTGCGAAGGCTGCTCTGTTCATTCCAGTGGGGGCACAGCTATGGATGGTCCTTTGTATGATGGAACCAGTTGCCCTTTGTTGACATAAATGGGGCACCCCATATGTGTAAGTAGCTTCCACATGAACACAAAAGGAAGTACAGCTCATCAGGGCGGTTGACTAGATTTTACATTCTTTAGTACTGTAAAAATTTATATCTAATCATGATTGTGAGTAAAACATTGGTCAGAAAAGACCTGCGTGGTTGTTAAATTTGTACCACATAGCATTTCTGGTTTAACGGAGTGTCTTTGGAATACTTTTGTCTACATCATGAACCAGTTGGAAAGAATTCTTTTCATGTTTAAGGATTTGATTCAATTAAAAAACATTGCTTAAGTTGGGGTTTTGCTTTAATTTATTTTATTGAGTCCAGCTGACTGGACTGAATATTGTTAACAATGGCACTTCCTCTCTTCGACATAATGTAGCATTTTAAGTAGCTAAACCACATGTGGATCCAATCAAATGTTGTCTCATTCCTATTCTTGTGGGAATGGGTATGCCCTTCTACAGAACAATACGCTATATATACACTCACAATTGTCTTTGCTCCTCATTCCTACACACTTTGTATATACAAACCCACACATTCTACTGCAACTTAGCTTGTGCATGGTTTTAGTTTAACCTTTTTTCTTTTCTTTTTTTACACCAAATATGTTATGTTGTAGTAGCCACAACATGTCCTTAGGCAAGTTGCTATCTCTGACCCAAACCCTCATTCCCTACATCAAGAATTTTGGGATATTTGTACTCCAAAATTCATAGTATTCCAAAATTCATAGTAGGGCAATGCCTTTTATTAGGCTAACTAATGAGCAGTCTTCTAAGTTCTTTTGAATTCTTCACATGTTGAGCAAAGCAGGGAGTGGGGAGGAGAAGAGTTATAGAGAGGTACAGCGGTACCTCGGGTTACATACGCTTCAGGTTACATACGCTTCAGGTTACAGACCCCGCTAACCCAGAATTAGTGCTTCAGGTTAAGAACTTTGCTTCAGGATGAGAACAGAAATTGTGCTCCGGCAGCGCGGCAGCAGTGGGAGGCCCCATTAGCTAAAGTGGTGCTTCAGGTTAAGAACAGTTTCAGGTTAAGTACGGACCTCTGGAACGAATTAAGTACTTAACCCGAGGTACTACTGTATTTAAATTGTAAGGTCTGCATTGGTGGTACATTCTATCCAACCACTACCTAATTCAGGTTCTGTTGACTTTTCCCACTTAGTACACCACCTAAAATTAATCCCAGAGGGTGGTATTCAGCTAAGTTGTACCAGGAAGTGCACCAGACAGGCAGACAGGGAGCACAGAAGAAATACCCGTCTGTAGGCTCTTTAAATACTGTAGTTCTCAAAAAGTTGTGGAGCCCAGAAGACATGGACTGGATGCAGAAGCTCAAAAGGCTTCCCTCCACCTTGATTCTTGGTCAGAACAAGGTGTTAACTCTGGTGCTGCCTTGGGGGTTCCTCTGCATGACCAGAACAGCATAATTCACCATCAAAATCTCTAACTTGTCTCTGTTCTGCTTCTGATTATTGGCCCCCATCCAATCTGTTCCTTTTTCTCAAGACACCTGTTCTGAACACATTGCACAATGTAGTTCAGATAAAGCTCCACTGATTTCAATGAGAGAAGTGCAAACCCATCCTTACATTTTCATTCAAATCAGTGGGACTCAACTGCTGCAATCCTGTGCACATTTACCTGGGCACGAGTCTCACTTGGCCTAGCGGGAGTTACATCTGAGCAATCATAGATAGCATCATGTTGAAAAGGGGCTTACATTTGCTTAGATTTTGCCCATTGTGAGATCCTTAACATTCTGTGGAATAGGTAAAGTCAATCCCCAATGATACGGTAGGTTTTTTTTTTTAGTTTACATTGGACCACTTTCTCCTGTGCTGAAATCCTATTTTAATTTGGGCTCTATTGTGAATTGCATGCATGCATCCACACACCCCCACACCACATATGGGTGAGGGTTTCATGTACTGTATTTTTCCATGTATAAGAAGCCCCCTATTTTGGGGGGT